TTTTTGGGGGGATTTTGGGTTTTTTGGGGGGATTTTGGGTTTTTGGGGGGATTTTGGGTTTTTTTGGGGGGGGATTTTGGGTTTTTTTGCGGCGATTTGGGGTTTTTGGGGGGATTTTGGGGTTTTGGGGGGGGATTTTTGGGGTTTTTTGGGGGGATTTTTGGGTTTTTGGGGGGATTTGGGTTTTTTGGGGGGGATTTTGGGCTTTTGGGGGGCGATTTGAGCCCAGGGAAGGGTAAAATTCTCATTGTGAGACAGCTGGCACAGAGGGGACACCCCGGGGACATCGGTGGGGCGGGGGACAAGAGGGGAGGGGTCCATGGGGTCGGCGCTTTCTTTGGTTTAAATGTGGGGGATTTGGGGGATTTTTGGGGGTGGGGACACACGGGTGGCACCTCCTGGGGAGGAGGGGACAGCCCCGGGTGGATCCGCCGCTCGTGCCCGGGAAATGTGGGAATGGCGGGATCTGGAAAGCGGGGATGGGATCGGGATCGCGGCGGGATCCCGTGGATGAGTGCGGGAATCGGCACCGGGAATGAGCGGGAATCCCGGGAATCGGCACCGGGAATGAACGGGAATCACCGGGAATTGGCACCGGGAATCGGCACCGGGAATCACCGGGAATGAGCGGGAATCGGCACCGGGAATGAGCGGGAATCGCCGGGAATGAGCGGGAATCGCCGGGAATCACCGGGAATCGGCACCGGGAATCAGCGGGAATCGGCACCGGGAATGAGCGGGAATCACCGGGAATCGGCACCGGGAATCAGCGGGAATCCCGGGAATTGGCACCGGGAATCAGCGGGAATGAGCGGGAATCGGCACCGGGAATGAGCGGGAATCACCGGGAATGAGCGGGAATCGCCGGGAATGAGCGGGAATCCTGGGAATCGGCACCGGGAATGAACGGGAATCACCGGGAATGAGCGGGAATCACCGGGAATCGGCACCGGGAATCACCGGGAATGAGCGGGAATCGGCACCGGGAATGAACGGGAATCACCGGGAATCACCGGGAATCGGCACCGGGAATCAGCGGGAATCGCCGGGAATGAGCACCGGGAATCAGCGGGAATCCCGGGAATCGGCACCGGGAATCACCGGGAATCGGCACCGGGAATCACCGGGAATCGGCACCGGGAATGAGCGGGAATCTTCTGGAATCGGCACCGGGAATCGGCACCGGGAATCAGCGGGAATCCCGGGAATCGGCACCGGGAATCAGCGGGAATCGGCACCGGGAATCGGCACCGGGAATCAGCGGGAATCCCGGGAATTGGGAATTTGCTGCCCCCGGTGCTCCAGTGAATGGATCCCGAGGGGATCATTACCGGGATTCTCCGGGAATGAGCGGGAATCCCGGGAATTTGCTCCCGGTGTTCCGGGATCCCGTGGATGCGTGCGGGAATCGCCGGGAATCGGCACCGGGAACGAGCGGGAATCCCGGGAATTGGGAATTTGCTGTCCCCGGTGCTCCAGGGTGGATCCCGGGGGGATCATCACCGGGAATCTCCGGGAATGAACGGGAATCCCGGGAATTGGGGTTCTGCTGCCTCCCGGTGCTCCAGGGTGGATCCCGGGGGGATCATCACCGGGATTCCCGGGAATTTGCTGTCGCCGGTGCTCCAGTGAGTGGATCCCGGGGAGGATTATCACCGGGAATGAGCGGGAATCCCGGGAATTGGGAATTTGCTGTCCCCGGTGCTCCAGGGTGGATCCCGGGGGGATCATCACCGGGAATCTCCGGGAATGAACGGGAATCCCGGGAATTGGGGTTCTGCTGCCTCCCGGTGCTCCAGGGTGGATCCCGGGGGGATCATCACCGGGATTCCCGGGAATTTGCTGTCGCCGGTGCTCCAGTGAGTGGATCCCGGGGAGGATTATCACCGGGAATGAGCGGGAATCCCGGGAATTGGGAATTCGGTGTCCCCGGTGCTCCAGGGGTGGATTCCGGGGGGATCATCACCGGGATTCCCGGGAATTTGCTGTCGCCGGTGCTCCAGTGAGTGGATCCCGGGGAGGATTATCACCGGTACTGAGCGGGAATCCCGGGAATTGGGAATTCGGTGTGCCCGGTGCTCCAGGGGTGGATTCCGGGGGGATCATCACCGGGATTCCCGGGAATTTGCTGTCGCCGGTGCTCCAGTGAGTGGATCCCGGGGAGGATTATCACCGGTACTGAGCGGGAATCCCGGGAATTGGGAATTCGGTGTGCCCGGTGCTCCAGGGGTGGATTCCGGGGGGATCATCACCGGGATTCCCGGGAATTTGCTGTCGCCGGTGCTCCAGTGAGTGGATCCCGGGGAGGATTATCACCGGTACTGAGCGGGAATCCCGGGAATTGGGAATTCGGTGTGCCCGGTGCTCCAGGGGTGGATTCCGGGGGGATCATCACCGGGATTCCCGGGAATTTGCTGTCGCCGGTGCTCCAGTGAGTGGATCCCGGGGAGGATTATCACCGGTACTGAGCGGGAATCCCGGGAATTGGGAATTCGGTGTGCCCGGTGCTCCAGGGGTGGATTCCGGGGGGATCATCACCGGGATTCCCGGGAATTTGCTGTCGCCGGTGCTCCAGTGAGTGGATCCCGGGGAGGATTATCACCGGTACTGAGCGGGAATCCCGGGAATTGGGAATTCGGTGTGCCCGGTGCTCCAGGGGTGGATTCCGGGGGGATCATCACCGGGATTCCCGGGAATTTGCTGTCGCCGGTGCTCCAGTGAGTGGATCCCGGGGAGGATTATCACCGGTACTGAGCGGGAATCCCGGGAATTGGGAATTCGGTGTGCCCGGTGCTCCAGGGGTGGATTCCGGGGGGATCATCACCGGGATTCCCGGGAATTTGCTGTCGCCGGTGCTCCAGTGAGTGGATCCCGGGGAGGATTATCACCGGTACTGAGCGGGAATCCCGGGAATTGGGAATTCGGTGTGCCCGGTGCTCCAGGGGTGGATTCCGGGGGGATCATCACCGGGATTCCCGGGAATTTGCTGTCGCCGGTGCTCCAGTGAGTGGATCCCGGGGAGGATTATCACCGGTACTGAGCGGGAATCCCGGGAATTGGGAATTCGGTGTGCCCGGTGCTCCAGGGGTGGATTCCGGGGGGATCATCACCGGGATTCCCGGGAATTTGCTGTCGCCGGTGCTCCAGTGAGTGGATCCCGGGGAGGATTATCACCGGTACTGAGCGGGAATCCCGGGAATTGGGAATTCGGTGTGCCCGGTGCTCCAGGGGTGGATTCCGGGGGGATCATCACCGGGATTCCCGGGAATTTGCTGTCGCCGGTGCTCCAGTGAGTGGATCCCGGGGAGGATTATCACCGGTACTGAGCGGGAATCCCGGGAATTGGGAATTCGGTGTGCCCGGTGCTCCAGGGGTGGATTCCGGGGGGATCATCACCGGGATTCCCGGGAATTTGCTGTCGCCGGTGCTCCAGTGAGTGGATCCCGGGGAGGATTATCACCGGTACTGAGCGGGAATCCCGGGAATTGGGAATTCGGTGTGCCCGGTGCTCCAGGGGTGGATTCCGGGGGGATCATCACCGGGATTCCCGGGAATTTGCTGTCGCCGGTGCTCCAGTGAGTGGATCCCGGGGAGGATTATCACCGGTACTGAGCGGGAATCCCGGGAATTGGGAATTCGGTGTGCCCGGTGCTCCAGGGGTGGATTCCGGGGGGATCATCACCGGGATTCCCGGGAATTTGCTGTCGCCGGTGCTCCAGTGAGTGGATCCCGGGGAGGATTATCACCGGTACTGAGCGGGAATCCCGGGAATTGGGAATTCGGTGTGCCCGGTGCTCCAGGGGTGGATTCCGGGGGGATCATCACCGGGATTCCCGGGAATTTGCTGTCGCCGGTGCTCCAGTGAGTGGATCCCGGGGAGGATTATCACCGGTACTGAGCGGGAATCCCGGGAATTGGGAATTCGGTGTGCCCGGTGCTCCAGGGGTGGATTCCGGGGGGATCATCACCGGGATTCCCGGGAATTTGCTGTCGCCGGTGCTCCAGTGAGTGGATCCCGGGGAGGATTATCACCGGTACTGAGCGGGAATCCCGGGAATTGGGAATTCGGTGTGCCCGGTGCTCCAGGGGTGGATTCCGGGGGGATCATCACCGGGATTCCCGGGAATTTGCTGTCGCCGGTGCTCCAGTGAGTGGATCCCGGGGAGGATTATCACCGGTACTGAGCGGGAATCCCGGGAATTGGGAATTCGGTGTGCCCGGTGCTCCAGGGGTGGATTCCGGGGGGATCATCACCGGGATTCCCGGGAATTTGCTGTCGCCGGTGCTCCAGTGAGTGGATCCCGGGGAGGATTATCACCGGTACTGAGCGGGAATCCCGGGAATTGGGAATTCGGTGTGCCCGGTGCTCCAGGGGTGGATTCCGGGGGGATCATCACCGGGATTCCCGGGAATTTGCTGTCGCCGGTGCTCCAGTGAGTGGATCCCGGGGAGGATTATCACCGGTACTGAGCGGGAATCCCGGGAATTGGGAATTCGGTGTGCCCGGTGCTCCAGGGGTGGATTCCGGGGGGATCATCACCGGGATTCCCGGGAATTTGCTGTCGCCGGTGCTCCAGTGAGTGGATCCCGGGGAGGATTATCACCGGTACTGAGCGGGAATCCCGGGAATTGGGAATTCGGTGTGCCCGGTGCTCCAGGGGTGGATTCCGGGGGGATCATCACCGGGATTCCCGGGAATTTGCTGTCGCCGGTGCTCCAGTGAGTGGATCCCGGGGAGGATTATCACCGGTACTGAGCGGGAATCCCGGGAATTGGGAATTCGGTGTGCCCGGTGCTCCAGGGGTGGATTCCGGGGGGATCATCACCGGGATTCCCGGGAATTTGCTGTCGCCGGTGCTCCAGTGAGTGGATCCCGGGGAGGATTATCACCGGTACTGAGCGGGAATCCCGGGAATTGGGAATTCGGTGTGCCCGGTGCTCCAGGGGTGGATTCCGGGGGGATCATCACCGGGATTCCCGGGAATTTGCTGTCGCCGGTGCTCCAGTGAGTGGATCCCGGGGAGGATTATCACCGGTACTGAGCGGGAATCCCGGGAATTGGGAATTCGGTGTGCCCGGTGCTCCAGGGGTGGATTCCGGGGGGATCATCACCGGGATTCCCGGGAATTTGCTGTCGCCGGTGCTCCAGTGAGTGGATCCCGGGGAGGATTATCACCGGTACTGAGCGGGAATCCCGGGAATTGGGAATTCGGTGTGCCCGGTGCTCCAGGGGTGGATTCCGGGGGGATCATCACCGGGATTCCCGGGAATTTGCTGTCGCCGGTGCTCCAGTGAGTGGATCCCGGGGAGGATTATCACCGGTACTGAGCGGGAATCCCGGGAATTGGGAATTCGGTGTGCCCGGTGCTCCAGGGGTGGATTCCGGGGGGATCATCACCGGGATTCCCGGGAATTTGCTGTCGCCGGTGCTCCAGTGAGTGGATCCCGGGGAGGATTATCACCGGTACTGAGCGGGAATCCCGGGAATTGGGAATTCGGTGTGCCCGGTGCTCCAGGGGTGGATTCCGGGGGGATCATCACCGGGATTCCCGGGAATTTGCTGTCGCCGGTGCTCCAGTGAGTGGATCCCGGGGAGGATTATCACCGGTACTGAGCGGGAATCCCGGGAATTGGGAATTCGGTGTGCCCGGTGCTCCAGGGGTGGATTCCGGGGGGATCATCACCGGGATTCCCGGGAATTTGCTGTCGCCGGTGCTCCAGTGAGTGGATCCCGGGGAGGATTATCACCGGTACTGAGCGGGAATCCCGGGAATTGGGAATTCGGTGTGCCCGGTGCTCCAGGGGTGGATTCCGGGGGGATCATCACCGGGATTCCCGGGAATTTGCTGTCGCCGGTGCTCCAGTGAGTGGATCCCGGGGAGGATTATCACCGGTACTGAGCGGGAATCCCGGGAATTGGGAATTCGGTGTGCCCGGTGCTCCAGGGGTGGATTCCGGGGGGATCATCACCGGGATTCCCGGGAATTTGCTGTCGCCGGTGCTCCAGTGAGTGGATCCCGGGGAGGATTATCACCGGTACTGAGCGGGAATCCCGGGAATTGGGAATTCGGTGTGCCCGGTGCTCCAGGGGTGGATTCCGGGGGGATCATCACCGGGATTCCCGGGAATTTGCTGTCGCCGGTGCTCCAGTGAGTGGATCCCGGGGAGGATTATCACCGGTACTGAGCGGGAATCCCGGGAATTGGGAATTCGGTGTGCCCGGTGCTCCAGGGGTGGATTCCGGGGGGATCATCACCGGGATTCCCGGGAATTTGCTGTCGCCGGTGCTCCAGTGAGTGGATCCCGGGGAGGATTATCACCGGTACTGAGCGGGAATCCCGGGAATTGGGAATTCGGTGTGCCCGGTGCTCCAGGGGTGGATTCCGGGGGGATCATCACCGGGATTCCCGGGAATTTGCTGTCGCCGGTGCTCCAGTGAGTGGATCCCGGGGAGGATTATCACCGGTACTGAGCGGGAATCCCGGGAATTGGGAATTCGGTGTGCCCGGTGCTCCAGGGGTGGATTCCGGGGGGATCATCACCGGGATTCCCGGGAATTTGCTGTCGCCGGTGCTCCAGTGAGTGGATCCCGGGGAGGATTATCACCGGGAATGAGCGGGAATCCCGGGAATTGGGAATTTGCTGTCCCCGGTGCTCCAGGGTGGATCCCGGGGGGATCATCACCGGGAATCTCCGGGAATGAACGGGAATCCCGGGAATTGGGGTTCTGCTGCCTCCCGGTGCTCCAGGGTGGATCCCGGGGGGATCATCACCGGGAATCTCCGGGAATGAACGGGAATCCCGGGAATTGGGGTTCTGCTGCCTCCCGGTGCTCCAGGGTGGATCCCGGGGGGATGGAGCCGCTGGGAAGGGCCGGGGGTGGCCCCCGGTGCCATAAGAGCGATGGTGGCAGCGGGGACAGGCGGGGACATCCCGGGAATCCTCCTCATCCTCATCCTCATCCCAGCAGGAGCTGCCGAACCCCACAAGGAAACCCCCCCCCACCGAATCCAGGCAAATCCCAACGCGGAGAAACTTCTGGATTCTCCTGAAATCCGCCCCAAAATTCCCGGGGGTGTCGCCAGCTCCTCCCGGGCTCCCCGGAGCTGTCGCTGCGGGCGGGGGTGACAACGACGGCGACAAAAAAAAAAAACCGGGATGGAGCCGCGGGGGTGGCGCGTCCAGGGGCTGGGGACAACGTGTGGCGTGTCCCCAGAGTCCCCCCGGGGGTGGGGACAAGAGGTGACACGGCCTGGGGTGGCCGCGGACCAGGTGTGGCGTGTCCCCAGTGTCCTGCCGGGATTGGGGACAAGAGGTGGCGTGTCCGGGGTTGGGGACAAGACGTGGCATGGCCGGGGGTGGCCAGGGTCCAGGTGTGACACGGCCGGGGGTGGCCGGGGACAAGATGTGACGTGGCCGGGGTTGGGGACAAGATGTGGCCGGGGTTGGGGACAAGATGTGACACGGCCGGGGGTGGCCGGGGACCAGGTGTGGCACATCCCCGCTGTCCTGCTGGGATTGGGGACAAGATGTGACGTGGCCGGGGACCGGGTGTGGCACATCCCCGCTGTCCCCCGGCCTTGGGGACCAGATGTGACACCACCAGGCTTGAGGAGCAGCTGTGCCATGTCCGGGCTCGGGGACCAACTGCGCCGTGTCCTCGCTGTCCCCTCCCCTCCCCGAGGCTTGGGGAACCAGATGTGCCACGTCCGGGCTCGGGGACAGTGTCCCCCCCCACGCTGTCCCCAGGCTTGGGGACCGCCTCCGCCGCCTCTCCTCGCTCCTTCTCCCGGCGCTGCGCGTCCCAACCTGGGGGAGCCTCCTCGCTCCGTGCCCAGGGAAACAAAGCGGGCTCGTGGAGCCCTCTCGGCGCTCCGGGGAGCGGCCCCGGTGTCCCCGCCTGGCGCTGGCCCTCATTTGGTGTCGCCGTCGCCGCGGGCCGCGGGCGTGTCGGGCTCCCAGAGGACGAACTCGTGCAGCAGCGTGTTCACCGTGTCGGGGCACTCCAGCATCACCATGTGGCTGCCCTCGTCGATCACCTTCAGGAAGGCGATCAGCAGGATCTGGGGGTGGGCAGAGGGTGTGTGAGACCCCCCGAGAGGTGTCAGGACAGCCCAAAAGCCTCTCTGTCCCCTCTCTTGGGAGTGGTAGGGCCGGGATGAGACCCTTGAGGGGTTCCAGAAGCTCCCAGCCCCACCAAAGCCACCCCCTGTCCCCTCTCTTGGGTGTGGCAGTGCTGGGGTGGGACCCCTGAGGGGTGCCAGAAGCTCCCAGCCCCCCCAAAGCCACCCCCTGTCCCACCCCTGTCCCTGTCCCCCAGGTCACAGCACAGCCCAAGCTCTCCCTGCCCACTCCAGACTTGGCACCCGAAGATTTTTCCACTGCCTTCCATCCCATGGATCCCATCCCATGGATCCCA